TGAAGATAAGGGCAGATGTAAGACCCCCGAAGGAAATGAGTAGATACTGAGGTATCACTCTGATCCGGACAAAAGCCCCGACGCCCTGTATGGATCACATCCCTTTGGTCTTTTACTTACCTTCCTTTGACCTGCGATACTTGCACGCTTCAAACAAAACAGTCAATGAAGAGAATGATGTGTGCTCCCGGCGCCTATTTATACTATAGTTGCACCGGTAGTGACGTCATGGCTGTCGCCAGCCAACGTGTTGTTGGTGTTTTTTCAATGTATGCTTCAGACATGGGCCACGACGAGGAGTTCCCAATGGCGACCCCTAGAGGACGCAGTGTCTCGTTCCCTATTCAGGGAACCATGGTTACATAAGTAACTAGTAACCTGAGACGTTTTGTTCTCTTTGACTTGTTGGATGGAAACGATGTTTGTTCGCAAATGTTTTATGCGATATTCCAGTTTTGCGCACAAGTTAAAATCACAGCTTTGGATGGAAACCCAGCTACTAAATGAGCTGAGCTCAGCTAAACCTCACATCAGACAGAGCAGAGGCTAAAGGAAACCCTATAACCCTTCTAATCAGACCAAAGACAGTCACACTTTCCCAGTTTTTATTTTTATTTTTAAAAAAGCATTTTAACTGTGTAAAATGTCGTTTTACACAGTTCTAATCATGCGTACATGTTCAAGCGAGTTTCTGGAACATTTCGGCTTGATTTTCTACAGTGGAAGGAAACAGAGACGTGTTGTCCATCTTTTCAAACAGTCTGTGGCCCTGCCCTAAACACACTTCATGAGCACTTGGGGTCGTGTGGTCGTACAATGGCTGTAGGGTGTCACATGTGTCATTTAGCCAGGGTTGCCAACTCTCACGCATTTGGCGTGAGATACAGCTTCCAGGCTCTGTCTCGCTCTCACGCTGCACTTGTAAAGCCAAAGTGGCAACCCTGCTTGTGATATGAAACAAAGTCTCAGCTTTCAAATTTTGTAAGTTTGAATACAACATTCAAACAATAAATACCGTTTTGGCGCACTTAATATGATGTGATTCGTTGTAGCGCCTCAGTTAAAGCCAGAGCATTGAACATCAGAGTTGCTACATTGCTGCTTTGATCTGGTCACGTGGTTCAGTAGCTCTCAGTAGCTCTAAACAAAGCAGCTGCTGTCAGTGCATCTGAACGGGTTTAACAGGATAGACCACAGCTTCTCTCTGCAGGTATGTGCAGCTACCTGTGGAAAAAATTACAGCATATTATGCATTGATTATTAGGTCGATGACATTTACAGTATCAGTTTATTCTGGAGAGGCAACATTAATGTTTTTCTTGTATTTAACCCTCAGATATTCCTTACAGTGTGACCATAGACCTTAACTATTTTTTCAGTTAGATAAATGTTTTATACTTTAGTTCAGTAATATTTATTTCATATTTTGAGGAGATCGTTTGGTACTAAATACTATTTGTGCAATAATTATGGTCCATTAATGACCACTTCAAATATTTTTTCCTAATATTTCTATTACTTATATTACAATTAGTGTAGTAGGTCTATTTAAGGTTAAAATAGAGAAATTGGTTTTAAATTCCAATGCAAAGAGGCAAATTAGAGTCATTTTGATCATTTTTGTTTGTAATGCCATGGTTTAGCCACTAGGTACCTGTATGCTCTTTAATAAATAAACTTGTGTCTACTAGTCTAGTTTCTCAAGAGTATTGAAGGCATACCTGCTTGCTTATTTTTAACTTTTGCATTTGAATAAATATTTAGACATGATTAAACACTATAGGTTTTTTAAATGTGAAATTTAAAAAGTTCATAAATTACATAGTGTTTTAATGATACTCGTATAAGTACACACAAGTGAATATTAATGAAAACAAAAAAATACTGAATTTAACCCAAGAAAAGTTTAAAATGGTGCTTTCAAATGCACTCAACAGAAGATTAGTATCCCCTTATACAGTATATACATATGTATTGACATTGAATCGAGATCAAGATTAAAAAGTGCCTCCTCCGCCATGTTGCCATCAAATAAAACAGTTGCCATGCCAACTTGCTACTGTAAACAAAAGCTCACAACACTTGCCCCGCCTCCGGGGGCTTCTGATTGGTACACTGTTTTGGAACTGACAGTGATGAGCAGCCCTGCATGTAAAACAACTTTTAACTTGACACAGCGTCTTAAAGCAGCACTATGTAACTTTTGCCACTCTAGCGGTTAATAAACAGAACTGCACACATCCCGCGGAAGAACATTCCAACCGGAGCTACTTCTCTAAG